TGACAGTTGGGGGGAACTGCTCAGTGATCAGTGATCAGTGCCGACTTGCCTCGACCAGTGATGTTCATGCCAGCTTGAGAATTCAGAATATGCATACCACAGATGTGTGCAACAACCTGTCTTAACATGTCTTAACATTTTGTTTGCATGGCTCAATATCATCGTTGTGCTTCTTCAGGGTCGCCTGACAAACCTCTTCCTACACTTCCCTGCCAATCACAACAGACTATGTGTGAGATAATCGCACCTCGATGTTGAACTTGAAAGACATGAACACCGAAACCTGTGAAATCCTTGAGCGTCTGGGCTCGCGGGATAGCATCCCGACCCCATCTCCTTCCCTTCCATCCCGTCTTTGAGGTCGCATACTTGGCGGAGTATTTGGCCTTGTACTCGGAGGCCGGGTGAATAGGCCTTTCACCAGTTCGCCCTGCCTTGGCGTTCGCATTCGCCTGCCGGGGCCTGCGGTGCAAACCGGTTTTTTTTTGAGGCAGCTTTCGGAGGGCTTGGCCGGGGTTTGGCGAAGGGTTTGAAGTTGGTGGGATGGGTGTGAACTGCCTTCTGACCTGGTAAATTCATTTCAAATGATGGTATGGTGGCACTTGGCGGATTTCGGCGTTGCAACCATCAGTATATTTTTTGGGCTGTGCTGCAAAGAATGCAATGGATACTGCATGTAGCTTCTGTTCGAGCCAGATTCAGGCAGTGCCCAAAACCATGGTGAGGGTCAGTAGAAGCCCAGCTTTCCTTGTTCGGGCGCCTGTTGCATTTGGAACGAGTCGAATGCGTCGGGACGCCTTGTTCCACGGTCACACACGATGTCTTTTTTGCGTCACGCGACGTGTTTTTTTTTTTTTCAGGGACCATATGCCATATGTCCACAGCATTCCGAAGAATTCCTCTGCCAGTAGTGAACTGCACCTCATTCATTATGAACTAAGATGAACCAAGCTGCGGAAGACCTCCAGGTGGCCCGGGAGTCTGGGTGCGGCGCCACAGCTTCGCCGCCTTCACGTGCAACTTTCCGCGCGTACGGGGAGTACGGTAGGGAGGTTCAAAACCGATGAGGAGGATCGACCTTTTTTGTGATTCCCCTTAGCCAGCCGCTTTTTGGATGTTCTGACTACACCCGAGGCGTGAATTGAGATGAGCTGCGGCAACGGGGGATGTTGGCAAGCTGTGGCTGTGGCTGTGGTGTATCAGGGTGTACTGATACTGAAGATATTGTTTGTTCTTTGACCCTTATGTATTGAGCCATCCGATATTTATCCCTGGCAAGCCATTAGTTACAACTGAGAAGAACAGAAATTCCGTTGTTCACATGAGGTGCAAAACATCCCAGCCTATCCCGGTCTTACTTATATGATCTTATGAGGATCTTATATTGAACAAGGAACCTTACTATGGATTCAGAAATCGCTTGGCCGGTGATCAAAATCCCAGTCTGACTTGTAGATATGACCCGATCAGCATGGTTTCTTGAAGATACTTGAAGATGAGTTTCTTAGAGTTAGATTTTTGTTTTAAGCAGCATAATTAGTGAATTATTTGGTTAGTCGCTGAGTTTGGTTAGGAACAGATATGATAGTTTGTTGAGTATACATATTAATATAGATTGTAATATATTGTAATTGTAAATCATTGTTTATTCCATTGAGGTTATAATATCCATTAATATCCTTTATAAGTATATAGTATTCTAGTCTATACTTGTACGATATACCCTGAAGCATGTTATCGTTTTCTGGAGTATCTTCGCAGGGTTCGACTGGCTCACTTCCCATAAAAAAGCCCAAGGGCTGTTCGGTGAGCTGCCGATCCATCGGCGTGTCCTGAACAGGACCTTGGTAGTAGTAAGGCACGTGCTACTAGCTTCTTGTTCCTAGTAGTAAGGCACTTGTTACTAGTAGCGATGCACTTGTTCCTAGTAGCTTCCTTCCAGATATTTCAGCCACATTTTCTGTCTACAGGGACGTGATCGCCCCAGGAATTCTGTCTGTGGGTTGTTGACAAGCGAAGCCTCCCTTCATTCTAACCCTTCCAAATCCCAAGCGGCTTGGCTAGTGTTTTTTGGACACTTTACCGTATTAAAACACCACATGGTGGGCCTACTGATACCCCATGTTTGAGTCAAACCGTTCACTGAATCTGGCAGATTCTGGGGCCCCCTGTTTATCGGACTGTCGCTGCACCAAGAGAGCACACACTCTGCAAACCACTGGTGCCACTGGATGAGCGCAAGTGCGCTGCACGTTTCACCTGGGAGGCATGTGCGCTGCAGTTTGGAACACAACTGGTGTGATTGGTGTGATTAATTGGACAAAGAGATGTTCAAACCAAGAACTTGAGTATTATGCTGTGGTATTTTCCATTGGGTGATGTATCTAAGGCATTTGGGTATGTCAAAAGAACATCGAGATTTGGACAATTTTGGGTGGATTCCCATGAAACCAGATTTTGCCAGTGAATCGAATCATGTGCTGTGTGAATAGAGTGAGCTCAAAGGATTTGGGGTTTGCGGCGGATTCAGTGCGCCAACTCAATTCCCGGTGCAACAGTCATCGTCAATGGGCACACTCATTCGAAGGCCGACCCTGTTGAAGACATTTGGATTGGTCCAAAAGCATGCAGCAACTTCTATCCACTGATTCTCTTCACTGCAAACATCAACAACCGTTTGGTTCAATTTGATTGTGAGCCACTAGCACCCAATTCGTTGCTGTGAATTCCTGCGCAAGATGCGTAGCAAAAGGCCGGATGCATGCTTAGCAGAAGGTCAGAATTTGGTTAGACAAGGTTAACATCGAGGAGAAGGTTTGCGGTTTACACTTTGAGCTAAGTTGGGTGCTGGAAACAGACTGTTGTAGACATTCCACTGGTGTAGCTCCTGTCATTCTTGGTTTGCACTTCAACTAGTTCGCATCCCACCAAAAGCCAGGTCCGTTGTGGATGCACATGTCAAGTTGTGGATATATGTGGATGGGATGACCATGGTAGCGTTCATGCTTGAATGCACTTGCAACAGAAAGGTTGATATGTATGTCCCTGAAGTCCAGGACCATCCGAATCGAATCAAATGTCAAGGCCCCAGTTCGATCATTCTCTGGGAGTACATACTCACCCCCGTTCGACCATCCGAAGGACAGAGATACCTGGACCCCTTTGGACCCTAATATGGGGTTGATTGGACGACACTTGTCTCGCGGACAAGCATCTATCATCGTTATAGGGGAGCCAATGCGGGGACTCCTCAACTTCAGACTGTTTGGTGGATCCACCACACTGGTGGGTGAACCGGGGTGAGAACCACCGGTGAGAACCACGTGTGAGAACCACCGGTGGATGCGCCCCACGTGTGTTCGATTTGGAACATGTGGATGGGGGGTCAGGATGGGCAAGGCCAGACGACCTCATGTGGACATCCGGACACAACCTGATGTGATGGCAAGATGCTGGCGATAGGTTTTCTCTTGGTTGGTCATTTGGTTCCTCCAAGAGAAAGTGATCATCTTTAACACTCCGACTCTCCCGGCATTTCCCGGAATGTCCGTTGAATGCTTAATGAAGAATCACCACAGGTAATTGGTTGAGACGGTGGACGCGTCGGAATGCGTCGCAATGCGTCGCACTGGGAGACCTCGCGGCTAGGAGGCTAGAGGCCAAATTTCCCGCAGGTAGCTTGTAGAAACAAGAGAGCCCGTTCTTGGCACTGGCTCATGCTCTAGAAAGCTTGCAATCGTTGCGAAGTTCTCCCCCCCTCCAAAAACATAGATGCTGCTATAACTTTCTGATAGCCTAGCTCTCTACCTCTTCATGTTTTTGCAGGAGAGGCCTTTCGCAGGCGGCCCTTCAGCAGGCAGAGATGAGCTCGGATCGTCGGATCTTCAGGACATTTTTCACAGTGACATCGGAGTTGCTTGGGGTTTCACCAGAACCTGACGTTCAGAGAGTTTGTTGAAGAATTTCCGATCATTTCACGGATCCCCTTCATGTTCGAGGGCTATTGGTTCTCTTCTTGAATTACACTGAGACTGGCAGCTCAGTTTCACTGCGCTGGTCCAGATAGAATGATTGTGGTCCAGTTAATTCCAGTTATAGGGACCCCCCAAATAGATAGAAAAGTAAAGCCCAACAAATTGTGTATTGGACACCGTTTCTATCTATTTGGAGACCATAGTTCTTTAAATGTGTTTGTTATGTTTTTTTTTGCAGCTCCAAAAGCCGTTTTCATCGACTTCTTGGTCATTTGCAGCTACGATCTTCAAGTTTGAAGAGAACCTTCCACATCCTTCCACAGTTTCCATCCATGTAGGGTAATACGAAGCGCATCAGTCCTTTTAGTACAAATGACCTTTGTGAAGGTTCTGACAGACCAGGAACCCAGGAACCTCGAATGCTTAAGCTGATCGATTCCACCCTAAGAAGTTCGGCTCTGTAACTGGGAGTCTGGGTCGAGTTTCGGAGGGTGAGAGTTGAGACCCCTGAGAGAAAAGTATTTATTTCGTGAGATTACCGGACCCGGAGTCACCAAGTCAGGATGGTTGGTTGTTGAATGCGTGGGATGTGACAGGGGCACCCTGACTTCCGGCCCTATCCTCACCACCGGAACGTGCCACGTGACTCCGAATTCCGGGACCCAGGGACCCCACTCGCGAGGATGTGGCCAGTGGCTTTTGGCTCGGGGGAATGACCATGGGGCGTTTTTTGCATGCCTCATCACGAAGAAAGCAACTTCGATTGCACCACTTGGTTCAAAAGCAGCTGTATACGTTCACATGACCCATGAAGAAAAGAACAACTGTATGGCGTTGACTTCATGGGAAGAACAGCAGACCACACAGAAGATGTAGCTGAAACATGGGTACTTTTGGAACCTTCTAGAGAGAACCTTCTAGAGTGAACCTTGTGAGAGAACCCAGTGAGAGAACCTTCTAGAGTACGCGCCAGCTTTCCCACCGAACGGCGCAGACTGGCCACCCGGATCCAACCATCCGCACACCATGGCACCGGTCACATGTGATCGGCCTCGCGTGCATCGTCGTGTGCTGCTGGCGGCCTGTCAACACGGGCGGGTCCACGTTCCGATGAATTGGTGACCTAGACGATGGAGGCCCAGACTAGAGGTGTCCAACTTACGGTGGTTTGATCACAGGTGCTTGGGTTGGAACCCTCTCATCTAGGATATCATCAAGGGTGAACTTGTGTTTGCACCCAAAGTTTAGTGCAACATGTGGTAACCAAGGCTTCGGTGAAATACATCGATCTCTTTGTAACCTGTAGATTGTTCGATTCATGTTCTGACATCAAGCGTCCCATGACAAGAGCAGGTGCATGGTTTTCTTCACCACTTCTGTGTTGCAACACAATTATACACAACCATCCACTGAATGGCTGGATGGCAAGCCAATGCTTGGAGGGTCTGCTTTTCATGTCTTTCAAGCTCTTCAAAGAAAAATCCATGGTGAAGATCCGTCCAAACATGGAAAGAACTGGATCACTTCCGAAAGAATCGGATGTGCTGATGCGCAGAGCCGCCCAGGTGGCTGTGCTGGGATCGCTGCTCCGCGGCCGGGGGCCTCAGGGACGGACGACCGAAGGCACCGAACCGGTGAAAAGAGCGCGGGAGTTGTGTGTTGTTTTAGCCTGCTCCTACTTAATTAATTAAGTATGAGGCGACTAGTTAGCCACTAAAAATTGGACGCAGGATAGTGCCAGCGAATCTTCAAGGAAGCTCCCCCCACCTGAGGGCGGGAGGGAGCTTCCTTGCAGAAGCGCTGGCACTTTTTGCTTTGGTTCCTAGATTTTGAGGGATCCTTTGACAATGAGCAGAACACAGGTCAGGTGGTGTTTTGTTTCATTCCACAGAGCCGACCAGGTCGGAAGCCGACTGGCAGGAGGCAGTGTGGATTTTTGTGGCCACGGCAATTGCGGCTGTAGCAGCTTTCGGGCCAACAACCCTCTATAGAGGAGACCTGTAGAATCGGGTGCCATGTTGGAGGAGACTTGTAGAGTCGGGTGCTGGTATAGGGGCTTAATCCATGTCGATCCCAGGTGAACATGTTTTTGTCCATCGATTGGCTGCCATGCCCAGGTCTTTCCTTCACCTTTTGGTCATCGGCGCTTGAAGGTGGCGGTTTGGGTTGCACACCCTTAGACTGCGTGCAGTCAGAAATATAGGGGTATTGATGGATATTTGACATGAGGATATGGTGGATGGCGGTGGTTGATGATGAGAAAGATGTCATGAGACAATCTTCAAGCTAGGAGATACAGGATTTTCACTGTTCTGAATAGGCCATGACTCTCCTCCAACAGGTCACCTCCATGACCTTACCATCCATTCGTATGCTGAGCAGATCAAAGGAACCTGAGAAAATCGACGAATATCGTATTGCCTATGCCTTAAATTGAGATACCGGGTGTCCACACAAATTGGAAGATCGATTCGATTGAACTATGTCCTCACTCACTCAGCTTATGCGACTCGCGGAAAAAAACAAACAGTAGAATCAATCCCAGCAAAAACTATGTGTTTTCTCTCAAAAGTGTCTAGGGAGTTCCGCTCTTTTTATTGGCATCATAAGAACTGAACATATAATGTATTGTGTTCGCTTCTTGCATCACCCGTGCGGTCACTGTGTCCAACATGGTCTCAAAATCAAATCAGCAGATGGACATGTCTGAGAGGAACCACACGTCCTATAGTCCCGTTTTGTAGGAAGGTCACACAATTCATTCAGTTCTTTCCAAACCTGGCGCCAGCTTCAGCATGCCAGCCATCCATGCCAGCTTCAGCATGACTCAATCAAGCCACGATTCCAACGGTAGCGGTGACTCATAGCGGTGCCACCCCAACTCGCTCGCCGGATCTAGCGACTCCCGACTCCCCGGATGAGTACTGTGCACTCGGATGAGGTTCTGCACCGGGTAGTTCGTTCATGTAGGTCTTCTGGGTCGTTGGAACCCCATTGGGAGCTAATTTATCTCCAAATGAGGAGCCTGATTTCTAATGCGGATCGTTTCGATCACCAAAGCTACTCCTGCAAACACATCCGACTGGCTCAACTCCGCACAAAATAGAACACCAAAAACAAGCAGGTTCACCGCATCCGATCTGCCTTTTGCACCGTTCCGCTGCAAACAAGACACGCAGGCACTCGGGCTGGACCGGCATCGGCGATCGCACGACGGGCCAGCAAGGACGTCGCAGTGACGGACTTTTGACGTGGGACGGATGTGATTTCTGTTGATGTTCGAAAGCAAAAATAATCGCGATGATATGTTTCCGTGCTATCCGTACTGTATGCTCTAAAAGGACATGGTTGCTTGAATGGATTATATGTACGGATTCGGTATACATTCATTATAAATACAACTGTTTATAGAGAATTATGCATGTGGTAAGAGGCACCTCTGTGGTCCACATGTTGCAATTATTTGTATAATATCAGAAACATGTCGGATATTTCTGACAACTGAACACTTTCAGATAGTTCAGCTAGGCTGTTTGAAGCATTTCAGAAGTCATTTTAGACATTTTGTCAGCCATCATTAGAAACATTTCAAACATGTCAATACAATTCAGATAGTTAAAACATTTCTGATATTTCAGATATTTGAGCCAAATCTCATTAGTTGTCTCAAAAAGGAATCGCTCGCCGGTAGGGACTGGCAGGCATCGACTGTGGATACGTACTTCTTTTCGTTGAAGGGTCGGGCTGAAAGCATTTATTTAGCAGTTTTTGTTGCAACTTCTGGAGCTCTTGGGTAGAACTGCTTGGGTGCTTTTACGGTCGGCCTCCGTAAAAGCGCGGGGAACGCGACGTGCGCGCTGTCATCGATTGGGCTCCTCCCATGACCGGTCGAATGGAGTTTTGGAACACGGCGTCCGTTCGAAGAGTGCGCCGATTCGAAGCGTGGACGGCATTCCTGGAGGTTTGTGTGTTTGTTTTTGTCCAGAAGCATGTCCAGTTCATACTTTTGAGGTTTTCTCATCCGCAAAACTTTGTCAGTGACAAAACTTTGGTCAGTGACAGTGAGTCATGCAAAGAGACAAGAAACCAGAACATCTCAAATTCCACTCCGGGAGGTGTAACGATGTGTAACGGCGTAGCCATGTGTAGCCTGGTCAGCTCAGCTTCATCAACCCACCAAGTGTGGGGCATGGAAGACCCATCAATACCTCTTGGAAGACAGAGCAACTTCAGTGTTGGACACAGAGCAACTCTTCAACCGCAGGAGGAGTCGCAAGTCCTCAAGCTTTGCTCGGGCAGCTCAGGGGAAGTGGAGTCCTCTCCTCCTCCGCGCAGGAAGGTTCGATTTCTTGTTGGGTAGGTTTAGTCAGCTCACCACTTGGAAACTCCTGGCCTACAGATCCGGGCAGAGAACATTTGATTTGAAGTAGACCGATTTGGAAGTAGACGATCTAGTGATCTAGTTGTTCCTTCGCAGCACATCGAATCATGGCTGGAATGCAGGGTGTGACTAGGATGACTGACCAACAGAGCAGAACGGAGCACACGATTCGGAGTCCTGTGTTTTGTTGCTCTTGGGGAAGAAGGTGGCAACTTGTGTTTACCCTTCCCTGGATTATATAGATGGGAATAGCTGGCCGTAGCGGAGATGGGACTGATGTCTGTGAAACATTAATTTTGTGTACTCTAGAATCTGGACTCTGTGGGAACAAGAGGTTTCCGTGGAGCTACAGGAGGAACTCTCTCAGTAGGGCTAGGGCTTTCACGCATGCGCACCACAAGCCTCTCAATCACGAAAGGCATACAAAATCTCACCTTCACACTTCACACAAAAGCTTGTGTGAAGTGTGTGGATTGAGACTTCGAGCCCAGCTTTTGCGTTGTGGTTTTATAGGTTGGGTGTCCACCACACTCGGTCCTCTTGTGTGGCGTCAGCAGCCACAAATTCGACCAGACTGTGGTGTGGTTCGTCTCAATACACCACCCCAGACCTGAGACCTGCTCCTACTCACTCCATTTGTAATGTTAGGAATCCGAGAAGATTTGGAATTCCACATGAGTAAAAGATAGCCACAGACCCCACAAAGATTCTGCGTAGTCCGTCAAGCCCTCAAGTTCCAAACGCCAACAGTCCTGGTCCAAAGCTATTTCGATGGTCAAACCAACTAGAGAATCCATGAGAGCCCCCCAGTACGAACTTCAGATAAACCCGGTAATATGTATTAAGTAAGGAAGGTTCCCAGAGGTTCAGAAATAGCTTGGCCACCGCTTGGTATTATGTTGCTTAACTTGGAGATGCTACCTTGTCGCGCTAGCAACATGCAAGGTTGCGCTAGGTCTGGCGCTAGGTTCAAAGACTTAGGTAAGATTAACAAACAACACATACACACATTGGCATGTCATGTTCTTGCTGAACTGGATCAGCCCCTGGATCACCAGTGGATCCTGTAAATATATCATATCAGAATATATCAGAGGCATCAAAGAGCGCTCCTTTTGCAGAGCCTTTCAAGATAAGACTGGTGGATCCTTTTGGTTCTTACCCACCCCGAAAGGGGGGCGCTGGAAGCAGGCATCCAGGCATCGCGTTCAGCATTGCACTGAAAATACTCCCCCAGACCCAAGCGTTGTATTGGAGGCCATTGCTACTAGGTTGGAGGTCATCATTTCTATTCAGTTGGAGGCCATCGCTATTAAAGGTTGGAGGCCATCGCTATTAAAGGTTTTAGGTTGAAAACATTTGGTCCTCCCTGAAGGACGAACATCGGCCACCCAGGTGATGAATACCCGCTGAACGATGCGGATATTGATGATCAAGAGGAGATGTGCCCGGTGAAGTGACGCATCACTCAGATGGTGAAAATGCATCAGTGTTTGGTGGTTTTTGGGAGGTTTTGGGGTTATACCGCAGTTATACCTGCAACCTGCAGCAGGGCAGGAGGGGGGGCAGAAGCTTTCTAAGATGATCCAAAAAGAAGCCTAGCAATTATTCTGGTCCAGTGCCGTGTAGTGATGTGGCGAGGTGCCGCGTGCTGTTTGATTGGTGAGCTAGCTGAGCAATGAAAAAACAAACGGATTCTGGAGCTAGGTGCTCCTAACTAGCTAATCTGAGTTGTGAGTTTGCCCATGTGCAACCCTTGCTTGAATGAATCCAGCACACCTCCGAGGGCCACCCTGCACCTACCTCCGAGGGCCATGGCATGCCATGGCAGTGTTCCCTCGTGCAACCGTGCGTGTAGGAAACCACAAACACCCGGTGTGTTGACTTTAAGTTTATATTGGGTGTGTCTTTCCTCGAGCACTTCTTGATCCTTCGCTTTGAATCCGTCGCAGATCTCTGGAGCAAACCGAGTGTTTGGGGCCACCAGGACCGGCTGTTTCGGTCCTCTCATCCCCCTGACTTCTGACGTCGGTTTTGTGATCTTTGGTCCGAGACTCGGCGAAAAGAACACCACACGGGACGGTTTCATATATATGGTTGATATGTTGCGATAGTTCAAAAGTTCAACATATGTCAATGTCAACTCCCCAATCCGAATGAGGTTGTTTAATCCAAATGAGCTATGGCTATGCATTTAAAAGTAGACATTCCGACTCCAAACCGTTCCGAGGAGATGATGACGGCGGTGAAGAAGCTTCCCGAGGCTCCGGACGACTGCTATCAGTTCGGAGCCCTGGTTGGAGGCTGTTTGGGCAGTTTGCTGGTTCAAGCGAAGTGGAGGTTTCCACGTAAAGCAACTGCTGTTTCTTTCTGTTTAGGGTGGTCGGCCATCGCTACTAGCTTGGATGGTATTGGTGTTGGATGGTATCCGAACGAAAGTGAGGGATCAGTCATCCGAGTCGGCCCGCCTTGATCAGCTGAGTTTGGCGGCCGACCGTCGAAGATGTTCCGCACGAGATCCGGTACACTCCATGTATGTATTTGATTACTGTATTTTTTTTTGCCTACACCTAACTACCTAGCTGTTTATTCTTGTTCAGGGGTCAATATTATACAGGCATGATATATTGTTCTGAGTGGTGCTCCGGGATATTTGAATGTTTAACCTTGGGATGATTGATTGAACCCACTATGAGTTGAAACCACCAACCCATGAGTTCCCCATGGCGTTGCTCACAGCATGTCACGGTCACCGGTCTCTCCGACACCCTGAGGCTCTTTTTGGGCGACTGGAAGGTCGAATGGAGCCGCCAGACTCAGGTAGAACGTTTGAGAGAGCGTGAGGATCGGAGAGAGCGTGAGGGGTGGCGTGTGATCCGGACATGGAAAAGTAACTAAGAAATAGATTACGTTTTTTCTCCCAGGTGTGCATGAGTGTTTCCGCAACATCTTCAAACTCCAATTTTCTGGTATCCTCCCATTTCCAACACCAGTGTGGCTACTCATTTTATGGTAGACTGCTACACATCTTAAGGGTGTCCGTGCGCCTTTGTTCTTTGTTTGCCGATTCTGTCCCGCACGGCATCTTCAGGGTATGACCACACGGCATCTTCAGGGAAGTTGACCACCACAGATGGCAATCCACCAGACATGGCATCCCCAGTTGGAGGATGTTTGCTTCTCACCTTCATCGACTGGGGCCACTGGGGGGCCGTTGGGGTAGACAACCGCCCAACGACTCATCGATCTGGATCGTCTCAAGTTGTTCGACTGAGACCTGGCACGATCCTTGACCTCATCTTGGATGAAGACGGTGAAAAGAAGACTAAAGTACCAACAGCGGTTAAACAGCCACAATTGCCCTCATGATGCTTTGAACTCGAAGTACATCTTCGTTGTTCACATCTCTCCACGGTCCACCTCCCTGCCGCCCCGCCGGCGTTTCAGATGCTTTGAGGCTCCATGGGGGGGCAAGGCGGCCAAGAAGAAACCGGACCCCAATGGGCCACCACAGACTCTGGGACGATGGCTATCGGCGCTGAATTGTTTTGGGTCGGCACTGATGATAAGGGCATGTTGTTAGTGTGTGTGTGTATATCATTGTGTATCAATGTGTATCGTATTTCTTAATTGACTTGTACTTAGTTGTGCTAAGCAAATATGTTTTTTTGCATTTGTTTCAGCACTTGGCACTCGTATCTTGGAATTCTTCCGCATCAGACCGCTGCACCGCATTGCATGGAGTAAAGCATCCTGGTCACGACAATCAAAGCCCCCCTTTAGTTCTTACTCACTAGGTGGTCAATGACGAGTGGGTAAGGGTTCCGGACCAACTTCAATTCGATTCCATGGTTCGCCGGAGAGTGGTGGAGAACAGAACCATTGTCGCGATTCGCAGGGTTTGGCTGCACCTTTGAGAAGGTCCACAAATACATACAGATATCCCAGAGACATACATTTGCGCGGGTACCCCCTACACCTATCAGGTGGGCTTACGGCTGGGATAGGGCCTATCCTTGGGCCTTTCGATACAGCCAAGCCACAAAGGGCGCCCACCCAGCAGTGACCCAGGTGACCCATGGCGCATTCCATTTGGACAAAGTGCCACTTGAGTTGCCGAAACACGGCGTTTGTGTTTTTTGATCGGTGCCTGGCACTCTCTCACACCGAGTACCTGGCAGTTTTGTTGCATGTTTTGAAGTATGAATGAGTCTATCGTCACATAAATCCTCGCCCAAGCAGTCATTCAAAAGGGGAGCTGACCATTGGAGGCCTCAAATCCCCCGATCAATGTCTCGACTCTTTTGGAGTCTTTGGGGCCTGCGCTCTTCGCCTGCGCTCTCTGCGGGTGCTGCGCACTCCTGCGCATCGGAGCCGCGTGCGGGTCAACCGAAGTTTGCCAATCACTCTGAGGAGATTGAATTTTGTCTCCTTCATGGTGCGGATTCCCGGAGAACATGTTTGTTGGATATTATATCATTTATGTAACTTCCTGGTGGTGGATGATGCTGGCTCAGCTTAGACCGGGCATGACTGAGAACATGGTCAGATCCAGGCTCATTGCACCGAACTGCACTTTCCAGCCATGGCGTGCATAGCATTTGTTTGTTTAATTACAGAAGTTGTCAGCCAAATAGGTCATCATGGCTGCCAGATTGCAAAGTAGATTGAAACAGAAGCAACCCAAAGAACATCAATCCATTCAAACATTGGTTTTCAGTAGTGTGCTTGGTGTTCGAGACTGCCATTGTGCCGGTCAACTCAGTTGAGGCGTTGCCACCTGTGGATGTGGAGCATCTTGGCTTTTGGTATGGTCATTGGCGCACCATTTGGATCTCTCGTTTTGACTACACGATGGGGCACAGGCAGTGATCTCGATGTTTGCGTTCACCAATAACCTAGCCGTTGACTGATCGTGAATACCGTTGCAACATATAAGTTGAACTTTCCATGGAGGAGATCGATTGATCTGATGAAACAATTTGTCAGTTTTTTTTCAACCTTTTCAAACAGAACCCCTTGGTGAGGATGTTTGAACAGTTTGACACCAGGAACCCCATTCCAAACCATAGGTGTTGCATGCATCAGACCATTTTCACTAACGTGTGTGGTGTTTGGACACCCACCCAAACTCCCACACATGACATGCAATGACACGCATGACACGGACATTGTTATGAATCAGACGTGTTCGGCCAAAGGTTCAAATATGTTCAAAGTATCTTAAACACATATGCAGTATGTTCATCTACATGAACCAAAACAATGTCAATGTCATCGAGTCTGTATTGGAAAGATACAGGCGACACAAGGGTGTTCACTAGGCTCCCCTTAGGTGAAGTAGAAATCTGGGTTTCCCTTCATTCCCACACGCGTTTGCATGAACGACAGCAGAACTTACATTTTTGTGCAGGGATGTGCATGGGAGGGTTCGTTCGATTCAGTGATTCCTCTAGTTCGGTTTGCGTGACAACCACAAAGATTACAAGTGGGCTGTAGGACCTTTCACTAGTAACAAGAAGCTACTAGCGGCTCCTGGCCTTCCTACTAGGAGCAAGGACGCTACTAGGGCATCCTGGCATTTCTACTAGTAGCAGTCTCGCATTGAGGTTCACCGGTTCATTCAACCGCGTCAGCGGCGATGGTGAAGGGGGAACCTATCAGCTGCTTCAGACGTTTACCATGCGCCCTGGTGAAGCTGGGGTGAGGGGTCAAGCTGGGATGGCCAAGCTGGGTGTTGGGTTCGACGATGTTTTGAGGGGAAGCAATGCTCGTTGAGAGTAGCGGTTCGGAGAAAAAAACGCATCCGAAGCCGATCCTGTGGCCGTCTTGTAGCCGATACGGTTCGTAGCTCCAGGGCCAAGAGGTTACGTCCTCCCATGGGTGGATATTTAGTAGGAAGACCCTCAACCAATGTTCTGTTTCTCTTCTTCCAGGTGGTTTTTGAGAGGCCTCGAAATTTCAATACACACCCAAATGGTGTTACACTTAGTGACTTAGTGTAAACAAGTGGATAGGCAGGAAGTTGGGTCCACGTCAGGCTTTCTGATTTCTGGTTGGCTTACACCACTAGCCAGCCGCTAGCAGCCAAGAGCAGGAACCAACAGGTGCGACCTGAAGGCTTTATTGGATGGAAAAAACACATTTTGTCTCTGCAATACTCACCATGCTGTTCTGTCACTGAATGTCACAGCCGACTGGCTTGCCATCTTCAGCGACATATCAAATGTAGACCTCTACAGTTCCTTATAAATTCAAGATACAGTGATACAGTGGTCAAGACTCAGTCAAGTTTTGCTTGCGTCATGTGTAGCAACGTGTTACCCAAAAAAAAACAGAGCACTACAGTCCGAGCTCTCGGTTTCTCACAAAGATACTCAAGAGCGTCAAGTGATACAGAGAGCCGTGCTTTCCAATCGATTTCTTTTGGGTGGTCACAGGCAGCTTTACAGGGAAATTGTTCAAAGTCCTTGAATCAACCAAGCCTGATACACCTGATGATGACACTGCCTCTTTGACCAGCAATATCAATAAACTCTAATAGTTTTATAAGTAGGTGTTAATGTGGTCTATATAGATATATGATGATATATGATAGAAATATGATGATATGATATGATATGTAAGAAATATGCGTTTTTTCTTCAGACATGTTGTGTTGTTGTTCTCCGTACGGTAAGTCTGTCCGCCTTCCCCCGGTCTCTCGACCGTCCGGTCCGGTCTGGGCGGTCGACCGTCCCACCCGAGACCCGACAACGACGGGGTCGAAGCGGCCATGGTCTTGGAGGGCGAATGGAGCTGCTGGGACGAACAATTCCATTGTGAGCAGCGGTCAACAAGTTCCCAAGTCACAAACTCGCTCATGTATATAAAGGTTTTGAGCATCTGAGCATCGCTCATGTTCCATGTTGTTGTTAGTTAATCTATATGATGTCAGAACTCACGATCCCAGCCGCGACTGGATGTGCTTTGGGCACAGTGAGTAGACCTTCCAAGAACCATGGAACTTCAAGGAACGCTAGGTATGTGATTGGTGGGTTGGAACAAGTACATATATATATATATATAATATATATATATACATATAACTTGACTACACTTTCCTGCACATCTGGCGGTCACACCCGGTTTTGGGGGTTGGGTCCGACGAGTTCGGTATTCGGAGGACCTGTTGACGACCGAGCCAGACCGAGCCGAGCCTGGAGGACCGGTGCATCGGATGCACGGTGCAGGTTCCACTTTCAAGTCTGATCCTTTCAGTTGAACGGCAGTGTATGTTTGTCTCAACGCTCTTCCGGAGTCTGGAGACTCCCATCGTCGTAACCCAAATTCTTTCATGCACGCTGCAAGGGTCTTCAGGCCTCCCGCCTTGTTCCTTGGGAAACTAAGAGGTGAGAATACCTTTCAGTATCAGAGTGATGAAGCACAATCGTTTGATGGGAATTGTTGGAATCCAACTTTCAAGGCTCAGAATCCTTGGAATTGTGTTGCGGAAATCGCTGAAACGCTTCTTGGGCACCTCAACGAAATCGTTGATTCCACCTAGTCCTATAGTACTGGCCGGGTGAAAAACCTTTTCTGCTATACATACTCTACAGTGCATTTTGAACATTTTGTGTATAAATAGGGTCGCCATCCATGCCTCGCTGCCAGCCAGACTGTTGAATGAGAACGAGTGCACCATACAGGCCAGGGCACTCAAACCCAACAACTATACACATAGTACCCATGATAAGGCCCCGGAACGGTGAAGCTTCATCGTCGCGCAGCGCTTCGCTTCGCCTTGCTTCGCTGCACCGAGGCACGGGTTCATCGAGTGGTCCATGGGGTGAAGGCGCTCCACGCAAGCGCGCCGGGAGGCCCCAAATGGCTGGGACGTGATCCACGGCTCTGAAGGGAAAAAGCGGATCATGTCAACCAGGTCCTGAGACAAATGTTCATCATCAAATCCGCCCACACCGAAGGTGCCGAGACCGAGATAGACAGATCGAAACGGCCAGACCGAGACCGAGACAGATCCGTGTGTCCTGCCCGACCGATACAGACGGATTGACAGACCGAGACCAGGCACCGAGACAGACAGACTGAGACACGCTTGAGCCCGGTTAGCATGTCCTCCTTGCACTGAGAGCACAAGTTGCTAGTAGCGCAGATGGCTGCCGAGCCGGTAGGGTGATAATGACACACTTGTCCCATGTTTGTTTGTACATGAATGGATGTCTATGTCTGTATGTGTGCGTGTATGTTTTCCCTTTGTTCCCTTTACTCTGTGCGGGCGGCTTCGACCGCGAAGCGGTGTGAATATACAAGATAATATTACCTCCTTTTCGCGTCCAGGTTAACTCCGAACTTTGGTCTAATGGAGGTTTTCCAGAGAATGGCCGAACTGGGGGGCGCATGTTGACAGTAAGACCAGAGGAAGACTTGGCACTTGAGAAGTGTACAGATGATATCAGCTCTCAGGGGTGGTGGAATGCAGGCGCCCACAAGATCTGCAGCACTGTCGATTTTTTTTGGAAACTGTGCCATGTTAGGTAACCCCTCGTATTCTGTGGGTTGGTGTCATGCCTCACCTGATTTCACTGAGCCTCCTCACGTTCGGAAACACTCCAAAGACCGTCGGGATTTCCCAGAACGAACGTAGACTCTTTTGCAAACCAACGGCTGATAGGAATCAGGGGGCATCGTGCTGCTACGTGGTACGGCTGGTAAGATGTTTGAGTTTCAATTTTTTTTTCTGCATCATTTGCCACTCTTGGAATCCGTTCCCAAGAAGCCTTCCAGCTAGAACAAAAACATGAAGATGCAGCAATCAAATCGGAAAGCAGCTGAATCAGGGAACCATCCGTGTCCAACTTATCCAAGGTCCAAGAATCGTGTGGCTAGGAATCGATGAGGTCTCTCAGTCTCTCAATCAGATGGGTGTTGCTTCTCAGTGCATTCTTGGCGGAGGAGTTGTCAAAACCATCAAAAACCCAAAAAAACACACCCGCTTCAAGGAAACCCGAGTCTTCCGCGAGAACTGCCAAGCACCCTTAAAGACTTGGAACAAATTTGTGAGTTATTTTTTTGTTCATGTCCGACATGTCCCCTGTTTGGTCGACGAATAGGCCCCGGGCCATTGTCCGACACCGACGCTGCTGAGGTACCAACGGAATTTAAGACGGTCCGACTGGTGCCCTCCGCCAGCGACACCGAGAAGAGTGTCTCAGCGACAGACTGGTGCCGATGCACAGTTCCAGGTTGAAAAAACGGATGCAGAGAAAACCTGCAATATATTTCACGTATGTCTTGTATGAACTATATGTATATAACATATATAGACACCTGGAAACCCAAACAACCAGAAACAAATGGATGTTCCCAAAGCAGCCACTTGGTAAAGCATCTCAAGCTGGCGCCATATTGGGTTCCAACCAGGTATATATAGAATACACTAATTGTAGAGCCCGAGAGGATGAGAATTGAGGACTTTGGAGTCCCAACAGTCCAACGGTCAGATGAGACGTGATGACAACAGATGTATCAGATGTATTACGTCATTCATGTCTAGAGCCTGTCAAGCCATGTATTCCATCAAACCAGTGGTACTAATGGTAAATCTTGCACTCTCACTCATGAGTGTTCTTCTCGTTCTCGCACGATTTTTGGATGGTGTCAATTCAGATCAATCATTTAGTTCCAAACTGCAAATGTTCAGATCACTTCAGGAATTTTATTCCCCAGGCAGAGTCTCCCGTTGGTCCACCGGGTATGATTCGACGGCTCGTCAGGCAAAGAGATGCTTGAGAAGGCTGGCCTAGGCCGAGCCTGTCCGAATTGGTTGTCGCGTGGGATGCCACACACATGAGGTGGTTTGCATTCCAGGAAAGAATGCCGACCATTTCATCAAAGTGAGTCACACCCTACACCCTAAAGGGAGGGTGACATAGTAGCTGCTTCCAGTGCATGAAACGTACATACAACTACCAGAATTTACGGTTCTAACATCGTGCTAGTGGGTGAATCTGTCATGAGGACTTCACTCGTGAGAGCTTCTCGAAATCTTAAGCCTTTTGAGGCAGAAACAAACAGAAGAAATTGACCACGGTAATTCAGTTCTATCCGGGATGGGGATGTCCCCCACACTGCCCATCATGTGACCCGTCATCGACACCACCGCGACCGGATCACATGTTTTTGAGAATCAATCCAGCTTGTGTTTAGTATTCCGGGGCCATATCGCTAGTAGGTTGGAGGCCATTGCTAGAGAGTTTCTTCGCCCGGTTGACCTTTTTTTGGGGACCACTGAATTAGCAAGGTGGGAACAGGATCAATATTAACTATAGAGGGAGCTCGTTTCGAGGCTCCGAGACACAAAGACTGGATGTATACGTGACTGAAAGGATTTGAACACATTCCACTTTCCATGCGCACAGTGCAACGAAGCGCAGCCATGAGTGGAACTTCTCCCAATTCCCCCATCTCTTCGACTCTGAAGAGGTCCAGTCGGAGCATGGCTGGGTCCCAGATGAGCGAATTGAGCCTCCAAGTTGGACGATGAGCCTCCAGGGCTTCAAGTTCCGTACGCCATGGGCTCCTTAGAAAGACCATCCGACTGTCGAATGTGTTTCACTTATTGATGGAATGCTCAGACCATGAACTGACAGCTTGATTTCCACAGGCCCTTCAACTCACTAGTTTACGATAGTTTACGTACTTGTACTTATTCAGAGACCTATCCCAGACATCCCATGGGACTGGCACCTGACCTTCACCCCCCTTTTCCACCACCCTGTTTGGCATTCAAACTCTTCCATGTTTGGGTCCACCCCCAGAGCCCAACAACTCGGCAGAACTCCATCCGTCTGGCCCCCCTTCCGACTTCTCTTCCCTCCGTCGCAGGGAAGTTCTTCGAGCGGACGCCTGTGAAGGCTCGAGCCACCTACATCGATCTCAAGCAGATCAGCCACTCGGCACCTCCAAAGGGTGGAGACCGACGGAAACCGACGAAGACCGTGGAGCTTGGGCGACACTGGTCTTTCTCTTTTGGGACACATGGTGGACACGGGGACTGGGACGCGTGGGACGGACTATTTGAGGGGTTGGTTGCTTTGGAGGTTTTTTTGGGACCGTCAGTGGATGTAGGAGCAAGAGTGATGTGTTTGGAGTATGTTGGAGTAATGGTCGGTGGTAATAAGAGTCCTCATGCTCTTGTTTTCCAACAAACACATATCATATAGATGACAATGATAATATATATATATATATTATATATAGACTAGAATATATACGGCTCAAGGCTCAAGCCGTTTTAGCCTCAAGCCCGGGTATAGTACTCGGGAGAGCTCGACGGCACGATCGCCTACTTCCTTGTACCCCTCTTCGGCCTGATCGGAAAGGGCAAGGTGACCCATGACTACTGGCGGCAAATGGTGCAGAGCTTATCAAGTATGCGGCGGTGGAGGATGCTTCAACTGGATCTGGTCGGACAAGGTGAGGGAAGGCTTTGTCTGCCGGAAGTGTGGCGAGCAATGGCCCCGACCACCTCAGGGGTTCTCGAAGGCTCCGCCATCCCGCTCACCTCAGAGGGGGCCCCGACAGCAGCTCCCAGTGACGCCCCCGCCGGGCTTGAATGGCAAGGCGCCCAAGATGACCAAGCTCCAGAAAGCCACGGCTGAGGCACTGGCCCCTACTTGGACCACTTTAGACCCAGCTTTGCAACAGAAGCTTCAGGCTTTGGGGATATCGCCACCCCCCTCCTTCTCCGGGGCCGGACTTGAAGGACATCCTCATGGAGAATTTGGCTCAACTCCCCTCCAATGTGAGGGAAATTGTGGAGAAGCTGACTAAGCCATCCCCGCCCACTGAGAAGGATGTGGCCTCCAAGCTCAAGACCCATGTATCCATGCTGAAGGATCTCTCGCACAAGAAGAACACACTTCAGCAGAGGATTGACTCGACCAAGAAGGCGTACCAGGATCTTCTGGATGAAATGAAGGCCATCCAGGGCCGCATCGAGTCTGAGCAGCGCTCTCTCCAGGACACAAGCACCTCGTACATGAATTTGGTCAACTCAGCAAAGCCTGACCTTGCAGGCCTGCCTGAGGCAGGGGGGTGCGGACCCAGTCCCAGCGGCCGTTGCTGGATTCATCAACACCCTTGGTGTCAGTTTGACGGAGGATCAACAGCTTCAGCTTCAAAACATGCTAAAACGGCCGCCAGCTGAAACTGATGAGGAAGCCAAGAGACGACGCACCGAGGGCACGGATCAGTCTTGCGGGTAACACCGCCCATTTACTTCATTCATCCATGACCTTTTCTCAGGGGCTTCTGACATGTCCTTTGCAGCATGTCCCTTTTTCTCTTTCTGATTGTGGGGTTTGGCACAATCAATCCACTACACCTTTGCAATCTTCAGGCTCAAATTTGGGCTCTCCGCGGGGCTTGGAGAGCTATGGGCCGCAGCGCAGGAGGCCTCCTCTGAAGGTTTTGGGAGGAGGCCCTGCGCCCTTTTTGGCCACAGAGCCAGGCATCACGGGGGAGGCACCGAGCTCCTCTACCTCAGAGCGGCCTCTCACGAGGTCCGCTTCTTTCGGGACCTCCTCAGTGGCGCCTTTGGCTCGGGTTTTGACTCAGGCTATGGCGGGTGAGAACACTTCTCGCCTAACGGATGGGCAGATCTTCCTCTATGATCTGTGCCAAGAAGACCTTCTTTCCTCATGCAGAAAGTACAGAGAGACCATCAGCCTCCGACATGGTCAACAACTCCTGGCTGACCTCAAGCGCATGCAGAATATCATACACAGACACCTCAGCCTCCCAGGAGACACCAAGCCGCCCATGGCCAATGTCTTCGTGGTGTCCCAGGTCCTGACCTCCATCCTGCTCAACCCGGATGGGCAGAACCTTTGTTTTGGCAATGCACCCTTCAGGTGTTGGTGTTGGGCTGGGGCTTTTGCCGACGATGCGGCCAGAGCGTGGGGCCACACTCACCTGGCCGTAAGGTCCTATTTGTCCGAGCCGGAACCTCAACTCCTGCCGCATCTACCACACCTGGAACCGATTTGGAATCGTTTCCGCCCGGGAGGGCAGGCCGATGCTGCGGACTTCCTGGGCTTTCTCTGGCACTTCGCAGGCTCTAATTTCTTCCAAGGGAAGTTCTTCCATAGAACGGAATTGGGCCGCACAGAGGTTCGTGAGCAGATGCCATTGAACCTGCTGTTCCCTCCACGACACTCCCCGACCTCGCTTGACGAGCTTGTCAATGCGTGGAGTGACGAAGGAGGAGGACAGTTCTTGTACGGCTCACCGGACGCCCTGGTCCTCCAGTTGCAGCGTTTCCAACGTGTTGATGGCACCTGGACCAAGCACTCCAGTGAACTTGACATTGGACACGACATCAACCTGCCCTTTTCAGATGATGGACAGAATGTGCACTATGGGGCCTACAGAATCGTTGGCTTGGTTCTCCATCAAGGTGAGGACCACCTCACCGGTCACTACCAATCCATCCTTCTTATGGACAACATCATTTGGCTTGCCGATGATGGGGACTTTCCTTCACCCTTGGCGGAGCTGACTGCGCAACAGCGCAGGGAGATCCTGCAGGTGTGGTTGGTCAAGGAACCGGAGGATGAGCTTGTCCCGGACACCCAGGCTGAGATGGAGGCTCCGCTCACAAAAAGGCAAAAGAACAATCACGAGACCCTCACCTTGCTCTTTGGCAATGTCACGTACTTTGGAGCCAAGGTGCAAGATTGGACCTGGGCCCACGGCGATGCCCTCCTTTTTCTTCATGAAACACACCTTGGAGAAGAAGGAACCTCCAGGGCCATCCAGTACTACTCCAACAGGGGATGGAAAGCGTATGGCCTGGCGGCCCACCCCACTGGTCAGGGAGGCACCACTGGAGGCTTTCTGACTTTGCATTCCACAAGGCATCTCACTCATCAAGGGCCCTCTTTCACCCATGAAGGCAATGGGTGGATGGCTGTGGGACTTCAACAGCAAGGGATGATGATCTACCTCATCCAGATTTATCTCAAGACCGGTGAGACTTTGCAGTCAGCAGCCAACTCCCTCATCTTGAGCAAGCTTCTGGCCTTCTTGCACCACTTGCAGGCTCCCTTCATTATTGGAGGTGACTGGCAAAACGAGCCGGAAGCTTTGGCCTCCACGGTCATCCAAAGCAAGTTCCGGGCCACCATCATGGACACTCAAGGCAACACGACTTTGCAAGGCAGTCAATTGGACTATTTGATGGTGGCCAACTCCCTCGTGGGCTCCATTCACCTCCAGGCTTTCTGGGAAGTGCCTTGGCGGCCTCATTGTGCCCTGGAACTCAAATTGAACTGTGTGCAGCCGGCTCAGCCAGTTCAACAACTGCAGCGATTCCCTCCCATTGGTCGCACTTTCCAGCTTCCACACCTATGGACCAGTTTCTCGGAGGACAATGGTCCTTTCCACATCATGGACGATCTCATCACGGGGCTGGGCTCTGATTTTGCTCGCTGGGCCACGCGCCCTTGGTTGATACCACTACCTCCAAGAAATGGCTCAGGGGAGCGGCAGCTTTCTGGGAAAAGCTCAATGTTCGCATCAACGTTGCACACCACATGGGGCACAAGTCCATCATTGAGGACATCCGGCATATGCTTCTGGATCTCCAGCACTACTGCTCTGAGGATTTCCAGGCTGACGTTTTCCGGGCTTTGCTCACTCAATGGTTGGACACGCCCTCACAAGACCCTTCGGAGTTAAGGGCTTTGATCTTGGAACAAGAGCAACATGCGCAGCAACAGGCATTGCAATCCACCAGCATTGAGTTTCAAGAGTGGCTGGCCAAAGCTCACCAAAAGGGTTTGCGAGGACTTTTCCGCAGCCTTCGACAGCGAGATCAAGCTTGGCAACGCCCCTTTCAAGATCTTCCTGCCCTAGAACGCATCACCGCCAGGGAACAACAGTGGGGAGACATATGGGAACCTGTGGCAGCACCGGTGGATCTACGTGGATTTGATCAGCTGCGACAATTGGCTCAGCAAGAAGCACTCACTTGGAAACCGATTGATTCCTCCCTTCTGCAGAAGCTCCTCCGACGCCTTCCCAACAAGGCAGCGGGACCTGATGGCATCTCCTACGACATGTTGAGGCATCTTCCGTACCCGGCTGTGGCCCGCCTGGCAAGCCTTCTCACTGAGATGGAACGAGAGGCTCTTTTGCCCATCCAGATGCGCTACACCAACATTGTGCTCATCCCAAAGAGCTGCAAAGTCGAACGGCCCATTGCCTTGACCTCCTGCTTGTACCGTGTTTGGAACTCCTACAGGAAGTATGACATCCACAAGTGGCAGCTGACCCTGGATGAGGCCCTGCCCTGGGACCAAGCTCGGCCTCACCGTGATTGCTTGTCCATCGCAGTGGGGAGGATGCTCAAAGCAGAGATCCGGAAACACCAAGGAATCCATACGGTCACCTGCCTGGCGGACCTTTCCTGTTTCTACGACACGGTCAACTTGGATCACATCATTGAGCCTGCTGCGGCCTTGAACTACCCTCCGGTTCACCTCAAGTTGGCCCTGGATCTCTATCGGGGGCCCAGGCTCCTGCAGGCTGAAGGGATTGCTGGAAATCCTACTCATTATGCCAAGGGCATTCTTCAGGGCTGTCCGCAGGCACCGGCCATCAGCAAGCTCATTCTCTACCGGCCGCTTCAAGCTTTGCAGCGGGAACATCCGGCTGTGGCCCTTCAGACATGGGTGGATGATGTCTCCTTTGACATCTGCGGCTCAGATCCTGACTATGTCGCACGAGAGGCAGTCTTGGCGTACCGCACCTTGAGGGAGCACCTCACTCAGGCTGGATTGAAAGTCAACACGGATAAGACTGGGCTCATCTCCAGCAGCAAAGAGACAGCCAAGGCCCTTCAGATTCTGGTGACTGATCAAGACCCTCAGCACTACAATGTCCTCAGGGATTTGGGAGTGGATGCCACTGCTGGACGCCACCGACGGGTTGCACAGGTCAAGAAGCGATTCCTCAAAGGGCGAGGGAGGGCTGGCATTCTCTTCCGCCTCAAGCTGCAGAGGAACATCCGTTTCAGGCTTCACAAGAGCGCCATCCATCCTGTGATGTCTTGGGGGGCTCAGGCCAACGGTTTGGCTCCACAGAGAAGGCAATACATCAGGGTCACTGCAGCCAGGAGCCTCCAACTTCAGCGTTCTGGCTCCGTTGACATTGTGTATGACATGAACCAGCAACACCCTGATCCAGGAGATTCCATCATCGAACAGCATCTGCATTCGGTCTGGAGAATCTACCACTCCTTTGATGAAAGCACTCAGCACCTTTTCTGGACCAGCTGGAACGTGGCCCTGGGCGCTCTTCAGAAAGTCCGATACCGGTGGCAGGTTGTCAACGGCCCGCTTCAGGCCCTACAAGCCTACCTGCTCGACTACGACTTCGATTTGTCAGATGGGCAAGTGTGGAAGCGCACCGGTTATGGTGGTATCCCGGACTGCCACCTCAGCTTGACCGACTGTTGGCCCATTTTGCAGTTCAAGCTTCGTGAAGAATTTCGCTGGCAACGCCTCCTCCGCATCACAAGGTACGAGGGTTGCCATGACTTGGAGAGGGTCTTGGATTGGCAAGTCAGTCTGACTTTGCAGAAGATGTCGGGCGACACTCTTGGCCCGGGCCTTCGAGCCCTCCATCAGGGAACCCTTCACGGGCAAGAGGGTCGTTGCCCCTTGTGTGGGGACGAGCTCACCTTCATCCACCTCCTCTGGCAGTGCAGCTTTTGGCAAGGCAAAGCCAAAGACCTTCCTGATCAGTGGAAGGAGCGCTTGGCAGCGGGCACCGAACCTGAGCTTTGGCAGCGGGGTCTCGTCCAGTCCATCTTCTACATCCAAGAGGGTGGCTTGGGCACTTTCCAAGTTGATGGTCTCTGGACGCCGGATGAGGCCTTTGACATCCCCAATGGCCACGCTGTGTCTCTGGCGGTGGCTCCCACTTGCAAAGATGTCCGCCACAAGAGGTTTGTCTTTGTGATCTGTCTCCACCATGTCTTCACCCGCAAGCTTGTCGCCACCTTCAAGGGCGTCTGTCCGGGGCAGGCTACCAGGAGCAGGGCTGTGTTCTATGCTTTGAAACATTTGGCACTCCACAGCAAGGAGAAGCTCACCATAGCCATCTATGACCATGCTGTTTGGCGGGCCTGGCAGATGTCTCGAGCCTATGAATGCTTTCCGGACCTTTTTGAGGGCCTGGAGGCGGATGACTTCACCCAAGTTCGGCCCTTGCTATTTGGGAAGCAAGAACTTGACCCCAACGCTGCACGGCATTTCTTCCAGAAAGAGGCTGAGAAAGAAGCCAGGAAGTTCGCCAAGGCCTCCCGGAATGAAGACATTCTGGACTTGCAAAAGAGCATTGACGAGGACACCAGGGACATCTTGTGTGTGGCCGCGGGCCGGATGAACACCCTCCTCAAGGACAAGTCCCACTTCTTGCACAAAGGAGATCAGCAGCAAAAGTCTCAGAAGGTTCCCCTGATTGCACAAAAGAAGGAGCTCCTTCAACAGTTGCTTCAACGGCCGGACGCAGGTGGGCATTCTTGGCGGGCTTTCCGCTCTGGCGCTCAGTGCTCCCAGTGCAAGCAGAGGCTCCACTCGAAAAGCTTGGTCGGTGATCTCAAAGGCGCCCTGGCTTCCACCTGTCAGATGGCCACCCCCAAGACTCCCACCAGGCGCACTCGTTTTGAGGTGATCAATGATCTCATAGCTGCCCAGACTGGTGTGCAGAGAGGAGTTCACCACTTGCGACTTGAGAAAGCATACCTGCGTTGCTCCGAGTGTCATGACTACATACTTGCAAGGTGTCGCGAGGACGCTTTCTGCACCTTCGTTGGTGCACCGTGCAAGGTGGGACCTTTGGAGCCCTCGCTGTGGGAAGGGCACCCTTCACACACTATGGAGAGAAGGGGAAAGATGGCCACATGCACCCGCTGTGGTGGGAAGGCCAGGTTTGTGGAGGACAAGCTCGAACTCACAGAGCGCCTCCGAAAGCGTTGTGTTGCCCTGCAATCAAAGGATTTGCGGGCGTGGTTCACATGAGCACTCTAGCACAGAAAAGGCGTGCAAAAAAAAAACTAGAATATATACTATGTTTGATTATGTTTTATTTTCACAAGCTTTGCAGAGGATTTTGGAGCGGTTTGTTTTGGATGTTTTGTTGTGACCCGCCAGTGGTAAGTTCGATCGGAATCCGATCGGTGTTTTAGCCCCCCTTCCTTTTGCGGCGCAACCCAGATCCCTCGGCATGTGACGGAAAAGGAAGCTTTCACACGGATGAGTTGTTTGGACGTTCCTTCTTGGACCTCTTCAGGAACATGTATACCAGGACCATCCTGTTTGAGTCTTGGTGTTGACATCCTTCAAGATTGCACACTGTGATTCTGATGATCGAGATAGGAAGTCACCAATCAGATCCATGTACTCCCACGTAGGGTATTAAATTCCGGAGAATGTATCCTTCCATAATTTGGGGCTAGAGTTAAGTACAGTACACTGGTCTCAGAGGCTCGATGGCACGTTTCCCCCAAGATGTTTTTTAGATGGGGTCGTTATGTTCACCACCGACCTTGGGGGTCTGGGCTATTGGTCCTCTCAATCCACTATACGTATACAGGAACCCACTATAGACATGAACCCACTACTGTACTAATGAGGTCTTGTTCAGCACCAAGGAGTCCTGGCTTTCTTTTGACGTCATAGCCATGAAATGGTCCTATAGGTTGTGGTGGCTTTTCTTGTTGTTAGTGTCGTTGATTTTAAGGGATTTAGTAGTAATACTAGTAGTAGTAGTAGTAGTAGTAGTAGTAGTAGTAGTAGTTGTTGTTGTTGTTGTTGTTGTTGTTGTTCTTGCCGTGGTTGCTTTTGGTTTCTGTTTGTTTCTTTTGGTTGTGGTTGTGGTTGTTGTGGTTGTTGTTGTTGGTGGTGGTGGTGGTGGTGGTGTTGGTGTTGGTGTTGGTGGTGGCGGTGGTTTGCCGTGGTTGTTGATGTTCTTTTGGTTGGTTGTGTAGGCTTCAAGCACCTTGAGCATATGTCGGTCAAACAGATCAGATAAGCATAGTATAGTGTTCTCCATGGTTCTTCATCCGGAGTTGCCACAGGGTGCGTGCGTACGTTGCATGTTTGTCCTTGGGCAAAGTATTAATACTCCTTCAGCCCTGGAAGCGAACGAAAACAAGGTACAGCAGCTAGAATAATAGGCGGTGATTCAACCCACCACAAGGTCACCAGGTGAATCGAACCCCCCAGTGGTTCCCCTAAAAAGTTATTAATGTCTGATTGTATCCAAATTCATCTCTGAAAACATGTCTTAAGGCCAACAAGTTTTCATTGTTTGATGATGTTCTGAAAAAGTTTCTGAAGGTCAAAATATGTTTGAATATATTTATTAATAAGTTCTTTAACCCTGAGTATTGATCAATTGACTATTTATCGGGGTTCTTGTGAACCAGTACTCTATATAGCATGTGTCTATTTAGAGCAGTGGGATTGATTCAGACATCATTTCAGGACAGAACATCAGAACAGTGTCAGACTTTCTGAATGATTCAGAAATCATTTCAATAACAAGACAAAAACATCAGAAGCTCTCAATGATTCAGGAAAAGATCAGAACCTAGTCAGTTGCTTTTTCCTCAGAAACCACTTATTTGCGATACTCGCAAAACCTGGCTGAATAAGACGTTCTAGGTTGCACTCAGGATCCTTGCGGTTCTCATGTGTTCATTTGTATGCCAAATCTGATGTACTGGACATCCAGCGCTTAAGTTTTTTTGTGCGGTGAGTCCTTTAGCAAGCTACAGTAGAAATGCTTCCTATCTTCACAAAGCAAGGGACGGTTGATGGAATCTCGTTTTCTTGCGCTATCCAAGCTCTGTGAGGTACACTCAATAAAGTTTAGATAAGGGTGCCTTGATCATTCGGGTTGTTCTATGTGATTCTTGGCCAACCAAGACTTCAGGTGACGAGATGAGAACTCATCAGGCGGGCTGGCAAAACCCGGGCCCACGGGGGAGGAGCGTCACTTTTGTATGAGTGGATTGGCAACTGGGAAGATGGAAGACTCTTGGAGTCACAGGCCACACCCTGCAGGTGTGTCAGTTGTGCCAGGTTGGTTTGAGATCAGCACTGCCAAAGGACCACTTTGACCAACCAGCATAGTGAAGGATACTCAAACCAAGTGGTAAAGAGTGAGCACAAGTTGCGCCAGGTCAATCACGGGATCTAGATCTTTTAAGAAGCTATTATAGATATTGATATTGATATGCCTCATGTTTGTCCCAGTGGATTCTACTGCAACCGGTGTTGTTTCAGATGCCCTTGGGATCCCGTAGTCGACCTTGGAATGCGATATCGGGAATTTGATGCAAAATTCCATGTCGTGTCCTGATTCCCTCAATAGCTAAAACAGGGCGTCCCCGACTCGCAGGTGATTGAAAAATTACCCTTCAGACTTGGGTCACCCGGGCTTTGAGAGTCAAATGTGTTCAGTTTTTGAACTTCAATGTGGTTACCTGTGCTGTGGAAATGCACGATTTCTATACAGTTGCGCTTGCTTTCTTGACTTCTTTCTTGAGCCCGTCTCTGATGCCGAAGCTTGTCTGGTGTGGGCAACACCACGAGGCCTCTAAGCACAACCCCATCCGAAGGGAGGGACAGCCTCTGAAGGGGCTGGGCATCCCAACCACCGAAACAAAACGAAGGTATTTGGAGCCACAGTGGGTTCCCTGCTGGTGAGGTAGCCTTTTCAGTGTAGCCGCCTTTCGAGTCAGCTGTGACCAACATCTGCAGCTGGGCAGATTTATATTATAGGTCACGGTCATATGACTGACGTGGCAGCGTCCGGGTCTGAATTGTCCAGTTAATCAGATCCACGAAATGGCCCCGGCTTCCCGCCTTTGTGGGTAATGAGTGTGACGTTACTGTCACCAACGAGAGAGGCAGCACTTGTCCTTCTGCCTCAGCTGTACCGATCCTCCCATGGCGCCACCCGACCCTCCCCTCCGCATGGGCAGCCCCGACCCGCGAGGGCGAATCCGGCGCGTGGTACATCCTGACGAAGATGGACGATGGATCGATCCCGTTCCTTCTCGACTGAGGGGGCCCACGTCTTCGCTCGCTGACCACCGACCCTGCGGGGCCCCGCAGGGGCGCGTGGGTGAAGTGGTCTATTTGTTCGACCTAATGTGACACATGCCCTTCTTTAGACCTGCATCCTGGACGAAGCAGCGGATTGGACCTGTCCTTTAAGCCGCCGGAACGTGATAGAATATACGATGAATAGCACCTTTACATATATAGTCTCGCATATACCAGATAGCATCAGATAGCTGATAATCGGATAGCATCAGGATGTTTCCTTAGCTCGTTCTTTGGGGCCACTCTGAGATCCTGCGGTCATCCTTTTTGCTGGCCACCACCGAAATTGCCAGCAGGCTCCATGTTCCGTAGTTCAAAACGTACCTGCATTCCGTGTACAGTAATACCCTGAATATGGGACATGAAGGCTTTGATCTTTGCAAACGAAGAAGCATCATAGGATGGCTACTACATGAGGCATGTTCCAAGCTTTCGCAGCAACTTGAAAGGTCGAGCGTCACGACCAGCGATCGTTTTTCCTTTTTGGAAGAAAAACAGCGTGACCGCCATCGCCGGGTCCCGGGGGCCGAGTGGGTGTCGGTGTCACCGAGGGTTGTCCAGGTGACCCCGATTTTAGGTCGCCCTGCTAGTCAACGCGGCACGTGGGTGGGTTCCAGGGCCCAGCATGCAGAGGTGGGTTCCACGGCCCAGCATCCGATTGATCGGGCACTTGGCAGTGCATGAACTTAAGACACTCAAAAAATCATGAAATGATGCAAGGGCCTAAGGGACTCCTTAGACTGGGGGCTACTGCTGAGTGTTTTCTGTGGAAGGAAGGTGTGAATTTGAGGTCAGCGGTTGATGCTACTGCTGAGAGTAATGCTTCTTTTCTATCAAGCTACCATTGGCTTAGCATACGCATATATATAATTAGAGATTTGGCAAACTTCTTTGACATCCAACTAGCCCATTAGGAAATTCATCAGCCCGTGCCTCGTTGCGCATTTGCGACATACGTGTCGCCAACAGGCTGCCATGGGACTTCAAACAGAAAAGCTGCCAGACTTGGTGACCCAAATGAAAGCGAAGGATCCCGGGACGCACCCGACTGACCCGGGAAGTACTTGGGAGAGGGACTGAAGCGACGTGACCGGTATACCACGACGCGCGACCATTGCAATTGACGGGTCCCGTGAAGTTCCCGGCTGCACCAGATTCGAAAAAAACGGAGCGAAATGACCCGACCCGGAGTTGGGACGACCCACCCTTCCAAATTATGATCCTTATCGAATCCATGTTTTTGGGGGGGGTCAGGATGGGGCATGGATTGCAGGCGGAACACAAGTGTTTTTTCATCTAAGTTTCAAAAACCATCTCCTCAGAAGGTATACCAGTCTGTCAGCCCACCCCACCGCACTCGAAGCTCGAAGCCTTGCCCGGTGGAGTGGATGCACCGGGTTGGAGTGGGTTGGAGTGTCCAAAAAGAGGTGGGTGGAGGCCAAATGGGCCAGTGGATCTCGGAATGAAGCACTTCAGATTCAACTAGCAAGATTGTCTTCTGCCACAAGATGGTCAAGTGGTCTTTTTTTCACCAAAACTTGCGCTGAACCCGCAGTGCTCACTAGTGCTCACTGGTGCTCCTGACATCTCCTGACATTTTGCAAGAGGTAATTCACCTATGTCTAAAAGCATTTATTTGGGGTCACAAGATACAAACCCAAGACTGTTTTGTTCTTAAAACGGGATCCAAGCAGTTTGTACGTAAATGAAGTCCGTGGCTGTCTTCCCAAAGCTTAGAGGAGCAGAGTTGGTCTGTCTGTAGACTCGATGGAGCACGCCCAGTACCCTTCAAGGCACCCCATCTACTTGTAATTGGAACGTCCGTGTTTTGAAGCTGGTATCCCTTAAAAGTATCAATCAAATCCACCCAATGGTGGAGTCCCGGTCTATGCCAAATGGGTCACCTCCCGGTCGATGTCTTGATGTCTTACCCAAGTTGCTTGATCGATCTTCCCCCAGAAGACCCCCCTCCGAATGGATCCCCACCGATAGGACGGCTGCTTTGGCCGACTGGTGATGACACTGGAGTGGCAAGAGGCCGCAAATCCGGATCTATGAAGGAGTCTTAGTGATCACACTGGAGATTTCCACCTCAAACAGTCAACTGACTATGAAAGTCCAGTGGAGACTCCAGTCCGTGTGGAGACTCCAGTCCTTCCTCATATCCTGTCCATCGATCTGAAGATCTACCTGGTCCTGGTCCATGAGTCGTCGACTGTTGAGTCGACAACCCACTGAGTCGAAATCAGGTGGTACATGGTTTCAGGTCATAGCTTTGAAGACTGGGCAGGAAGGTCCCAGGAAGTTCGCGGTATGAAAGATCGACTGTGTTGTGAAGATGGTTTGACCATGTTTGAACTCATATGGGTGTGTATGTTTCATAGGGAGACCACCCAAAGACCTCCTGGAACAAGGCAGAATACCAAAAAGCTTGTTGGGAGGTCCCCCTATTCAAATACAAGCCCAATATCTGGATGGATAGCTTGGTGGGTCCGGGTTGTCCTTCGGGTGTTCTTTTACCTTGGCTACTCAGTGATGTACATGTTTCTGCCACAGTATCGTACAGCGTATGTGGCTTGAAGTTTTCCCATCTATTTAAGGACTGCGAGATAACCCCTGCACGACCCCCCCCCTGAACTCATGAACGCAACAGGAAGAGAATATGCACCATCATCCTGCCAGCCTGTGGCTTTTGTCAGTAAAGAAATAACCTTGTGCAATCGCTTTTGCCTCGCCTTTTGCGTGCAAGGTGAGGATGATCGATGAACAATTCTTTGAGGCCTGGTTTTGACTGATGTGGCTCAAATGTTGAGAAGAACATCGTCTACACCCCAGTCATCCGTTGGCAGACCCTCCCCATGCAGAGGCCTTGGATCTACCTCAGATGGCTCAGTTTTACACTCCCTGAAACTATCATGGCTACGTGGATGGCATTCCCTTCCAGGCCATGAAATCCTCTAGACTCTAGAATGAACAGAGGCTGAACTGGACTTCCATGTCTTTTTGGAGTGTAAGAGACTGGGCAAAAGAACGAAACAGCAACGGTCGGTTGCCACAAGATCGGTCCGTCGGTAGAGCTGTTTGTTTCACGAGCCGATGGTCGGTTGCCTGGTGATTTCCAACCGGTTGGGAGTTGTGCCCTTCTTCGACCTTGAGGTCGGTCACCCTAAAGCTATGCCGGGCCAAGCAGCTGCACATCAGGATGGACACTAAAAACAGCGTCCAAAAGTACAAGGTAGTGAGACATTCCTGGCTGCCAAACAGTTCTTTTCATACCTGCAAATTCCTGAACACATGTCTAACAAATAAAGACATTCCTAATGCCAAGGTAAAGACATTCCTAATGCAATATTAAACAAATCAATAATTTTGATGCAAGCATGTGAAAGTTGCAGACAGAAACAGTTGCTTCGATCCAATAGTTGTAGATGACTTACAAGCATGGGGTTTGTGAGTGGATTCATCAAAGGTCATGAACCACAAGATATGGAGTTTCCCACCCTTGGGTTGACCCTTTTTTAAGCCTTTTATTCAAGCCATGTCACATGCAGCACATGCAGGTGCCTGTCACAGCAGCTGCGCAGTGTGCAGGCTGGGGATGTGGTCGTACGATGTCGTATGGCGGGGATCAGATGATGATGATGGGAGTCGAATGTACCCCAAATCCACAAACTTTCGTTGTTGATGGAGAACGCCAACTCGGCAAGATCTCCTTGATTCCTTCATTGTCTCCATGATCCGTGTTGATTTGTTGAGCCGACTTGATGGATTCCATTAGTGACCAGCAGCCATAGCCCAACGAACAAGCAGCCAGGCAGCCAACCAAATCAAACCAACCAAACCAGCCCTCCTGGCCCAACAACACACATAACCTTACAAAGGATTGTGTGTGTGATCATTGAATTCTAGGAAATGAACATTTGTGAAATTGTGTGAATATAATAAAGGTATATGTATGTGAAACCATAGCAAACATATTTGAGCTCCACGTGACGAGTGGGCAATAGCCCTCCACTCCAGCATCAACGCCGTTGTCTGAGCATGCACCGATTGTGGAACTCCGATGAAAGAGGTCAATCATGACCAACCCTGTGTAAAGAGTCTGAATGCAATACACTCAACTTTGGATCCCTTTTAAAGGGCTCCCTTTAACGCAGAGATCGTCAATCGAAATGAACATAGAGGACACACTCTTTTTGCTGAGGCCATCCCCATCCTTTGCTCTACTTGTCTACCTCGGAGGAGGCCGTGAATCGTGGACAGGGGGCGGCATTTGGACGCCTGGTGTTTTTTTTTTGAGATGCTTGTAGGTTTGTATAGTGTTCAGGAATCTTCGGGAATGTACAATAATTGCTTCTTATACTTGGAGAGTTGCAACAAAATCCTCCTTGGATGCACCCCTGAGTGGTTATGAGTTGTTTGTTTGCATATGTTCCGGGTAGGTGTTTTATATACATATATATTATCCCAAAGCGCCATGGTCGCATGCCCACCGCCTCCCAGAAAAATAAACACATATACACAGGTGATGCGTTTGTGCATGCAACGTTACAGGTTTAGAGGATTTTAAAGGTATTTGTGCTATTGTTTCCCACTATACAAAGATATAACATCTGTATCATTAAGGTGCATGTTGCCAGTTTACATGGCCACATCACTTCGTTTATCGTGTCGGTGCGTTGCTCAAGCTTCACCTGAGGGGACGGGTGTGTCGCTGGAGATTCCCACGGACGCGGCCGTGTGGAGCGTGGTGAGTTCCTGACATAATATCCACGATCTTGACGAAGTCCTGGATGAAGAAGATTTCACCAACCATGGTAAAGAAATGGTTTTGGTCAATGGGTGACTGACTGTTTGCGGCTGTATCACCAGAGGGGAGAGAACACAATTGGTTAACAGGGCCATCAGCAATTTGGGTTGAAGCCCAGTGGCTCCGCGACTTCCGGTAGCTCAACGTGG